CTTCTTTTTCCAGGTGGATCATCTAAATAATTGGTCCTTCTGATTGTCAATCATTCTGGTGATATGTTTACGTAAGGATGTCCTACGTGCTCCTCCATATTTTCACTAACTGGTGGTGATCCTGACATAGTGGGAAAATTGCAAATCTTCTTCGGGAAAGTAAGCTTTTATGAGCGATGCAAACAGCAACTTTTAAACAGTTCACGCTCTTGTGCATGCTCTCGCACGCATTTACTAGGCATTCCCTCTCAGGAACAGGTATGCGGTGTGCATATGTATTTTCTTTGTAAGTGGAGAGCACTATACCTTTAACTACAATATTGGCATCCCATATTGATATAGGCCTTGGTTTCTGCATCGCTGCATCTCTGAATTCTACAGTTTGGTCACAGTGACAACAAAGACTTGGTGGGAGGAGACCCCTGACGTTTTTTCTTTTCTTCTTTTTTTCCCCTTTTTTCCTTTTTCTCCCATTTTTTTCTTTTCTTCTTTTTTTCCCTTTTTTCCTTTTTCTCCCATTTTTTTCTTTTCTTCTTTTTTCCTTTTTTTCTACTTCCTTTCAATCAACAAATGATTTGGTTCTTAAAGAGATTAAATAAAAACAGGAAATGCTGAAGTGTCAGATGATTCATTCTTTTTCAAGAGTTACATCTTGAAATTTTTTTTTACTTAACTCCATACATCTCAGTTTATGTGCAATAATGTTCTTGCTGCAGATGAACAATATCTGATTTTTTCATTACTTTGGAAAACATCTTCCCTCAGATTTAGTGTTTTTTATGTTGTACACACCCTCTGCAGTACCTCTATGGCCCACCAGGGGATCCAACACCCAAGTTGCACTGAAAAATGTTATATAAATTAATCCATTTCTCTTGAAATAAGTTTATTATCTCTTGATTTGAGCAGGTAAATAAGAGATCTTTTCAATGGAAAAGATTATTTACACCTAAAGAAGAAAAATGATTTCCTTTATGTTATTTCAACAGCATAATATCTATTCGTCTTATTCTAAGGTAGAAAATATTAATTTCATGGGCACAGATTCAAATTCAAATTAAGTGCAAATATGTGCAGTTTTTGACTAGTATTTATAGTTTAAAGACATCTGTTTTAAAGGCCAGATTAGTAAACACAGATTAAGTATTGAGGTTTGCGCTGGGATTAGGATACGGTGGATGTGTGGATGACTGGGGAAGAACTTCAAGTCCATCTCATTTAATTATAAACTCATCAGGGGCTGATAGTTTTCATGGCCACAGATTACTGATGCCTCAGACTTCCTATAAATGTTCCATTAGTGTTTTCTCTCTGCATACAGTATTTCCTGCACAAACAAACTATTGTTTGGAAAAACTGGATTACAGTGCAAAGAACTAAAACCTTAGAAAGCCATTTTTACCTCTGCTTTTAGTGTATTTTTTCTTTATTTCAGCAGGTATTCATGAGACATTCTGCCATCAGTATAAGATTAAACACATTTATAACATGAATAACTCAGCTCCTTTATCTTATTTAGAATGCACAATATCTAATGATTTTATTTTAAGGGTAGAAATAGTTTGTCTATTGAGTGATTACCTTATTTATCTGCTCAGTTTCAGGACAAATTCACCTGCTTTAAATTTTTTACTTATTTTTGGATCTTTTTTTGGAGCTCTAAGGCTGTGATGAGGTGGCTAGCTTGCACTATGACCAAAGATTTAAGGCGTGGTAAATCTTAAGGTTAAAAGGTTGATGCTCTTATGCATCCGAGTGCTTCACTGTTTACCTCTAACCCAGCAGCATGCATCACGCAGCAGCACGCAGCAACATTTTACTCACCTCATACACAGCAAAGCCAATTGTTTCCAGGTCCAGGCCTTCTTTCCTCAGCTTCCGTCTGTTCTTCTGCATTAGAGCAATCACCACACTGCAGACGTCGAATAAATATGTAGGAAGAAATTAAACTATACGGTGAGACATAAATATATGTATCACTTAATTAGCTTCTTTATTTTTTCACCTTCTTTTGTAAAAAGTTTCATTTGTTACTTGATGTTAGATTCAAAATATTGTGAGTTCATATTTCATATTGGACAAAAATGAATCTGAGCACAAAAGGATTTTGAAACAGCTTTTCCTGCAGGAATGAGAAAGGCTGCTGCTCACATCCCAGCACCATTCTGACTCCCAACAGAACAGCAGAGTCTTTTATTCACAGAGCAGAAACAGATGGGTGGGTTTTATGACCCTAGAATGACCAATTGGCTGAGAGGCAGGTCATAAAAGTTTATGACCCTGTAAATGCCTTCTGGCTGAAGGCAAGTCTAAAATAAACCTCCTGATTGAATCACAGGACAGAATGTAGC